TGGTAAGCTCGTACGAATAAGTTAATTTCGAGTACTTCATCCTCCCTCTGTATCCCCTCATCATGATCTGCTTCATACTCAATGTAGAAGAACTTCTTACACTTGTGCCCAGGTGTAAATTTTTCATCACCTTCTTTCCTCCAGTTCTTGTTTATTCAACCTTTTTGGCAACATTGCTCCTTTCTCAGGGTATTGAATCCTTAAGAGTTGTTCAGGCTGAGGCAGCCTTGGAACCCTCTGATTGTTTGTTGCAATTCTCACTGAGCTTCTAATTTCCACCTTCAGCTGATCCACTATGTTTTCTTGTAGTTTGGCTTGGATGATGGCATGGGCAAGGGTCTGTGGTCTCATCATCTTGACCATATTCCATAATTCTCCTTTCACTCCTTCTACAAAACATTCTACATAATAGCTTTCTGGGAAGGTTCTATGTTTCCTTACCATAAAAGCCTTGAGCTGCTCAAACTTCAATCTATACTCCTCTACATTAGTCTCTTGATACAGTTTGTTAAACTCTGCCACCAAACTGACCCCTTCTTCCTCCATGAATCTTTCCAAGACCATATTTGAGAAAGCTTCCCATCACTACACCACAGACTGCCATCGATAGCGTTTGAAAAACGCTATCGTAGCCTATGATAGCGTTTTTGAAAACGCTATTTCTGCCGGAGCTATAATAGATACCGGAGATTTCATAGCGTTTTCCTGTCGCTATGGTAAAAAACACTACAACAGCGCACCGTCAATGCTATGTGAACCTCGATAATAGCGTTTGTAATGGGCCATAATAGACTCTAACATAGCACCAAATCGACGCCATTGTAATTTTTTTAATAACGACTAAGTAACGCTATTACAAATACTATAACCGCAAAAATCTGGCGCTATTGTACATTTTGTAAGAGCGCATATGAAGTGCTATAATAAACTATATTATGACAACTATAGTGTGCTATGGTAAAACTCTAGAAAATCACATTGTAAACGCTATTATTGCTGTGGTTCAATCTTTCATAGCATTTTCTTTGAGTTTTGGTTTTCAATTAGGTGCTATGGTTCAATCTTTTATAGCATTATATATCCCTGTATTATTCACTATTGTAGCATCTCTTTAATGTAATTAGTTATTACTCTCACCAGTTGCAATTGCTGCAATAACAACACGATAAATCACAATACTAAATACACATCGGATACTATGGTGCAATATGAGTAATGACTCATAAATCTTAATTAATAAAAGAACAAAGTACTTATTATTTTTGACGAAGTATCCTGATAACTTTAACATCCGAGAACAGCCTACTGCGCTATTTAAAAAAAAACAATAAAAAAATATTTTACTCTAACATTCAGGTCCCGAAAAGGTTTCTAGTGACTGCCCATGCATGTTTACTTTTCTCCGTTTTCTCCTTCCATTTCCTGTAAAAGTAATTGAAAAAAAAAATATATTGTATTCGTAAAGTACTACAAAGAAAGAGATACAGAACATTTACCTAAATCAATTGAATCAATCGATTTGCAATCCATAAATTACAATTTCGATGACAATATCAAATTAAGTACAATACGTGATTGGAGAAAAAAATTAAACTTAAAATAGAGAGAGTCTAATCGCTTACCGGTACTCTACAATATAACCACTTTATCTGTTGGCCATGCTACTGTAGTTCCTATGGCATCTTCAATGAACTCCATCTCAGATATAGATCTCCAGAGAGACGCGGCTGGGACTTTTGTTGTTTCTACCCAAACTCTCGTAGCATTAGGACCCAATGGAACAAAATGAACAACTTGACTTGGATCATTTGAGGACCATCGTCCTTCAGCAACAATTTAACCAGATCCACAAACATCCAATAACTTGCACTTTCTATTTAGATTATTGGTGTTGACACTCTAAGAAATCAAACATTTATAAATTGAGAAATATGAATATTAGATGGCCATATATAAATAATTCATGATATTACATGCACACATTTTTTTTACCTAAGGAGATGAAAGATTTTCTTCTTCACTTTCTATTGTTTTCTCCAATATAACTCTATCTGCAGGCCAAGCTATTGTAGAATTGACAACATCTTTAATAAATCTCATATCAGCTGCAAGGGGCCGCCATAAACATGCTTCAAAAAATTTCAGAACATCCACCGAAACTATCATAGCATTGGGCCCAAGAGGATTGCCATTAACTAATGCATTTGGATCACTCGAATGCAAACGTCCTTGAGCAACTACTTCATCTTTCCCATTCCAATCAAGTAGTTTGCATTTATTCTTTGCATCAATCTATCAACAACAACGTATACAGTAGAAAGGCACACATGAAAAAATCGTAATTAACCAAGAATAATCAGTCTATATACACTTGTTATCCAAAATTGTAAGTAAACAAGAATAATTGTTAAAGGCACATATTAAAAAACTTACCGATGCTACGAAGTTATAATTTTCTTCCTCCCCAGACTATTCCTCAGATTGCAAAATTACTCTTTCGCTATGCCAAGCTATTGTTTTACCGCGAGACTCTTTAATAAATGTCATATTAGGTGTAGGCCTCCACAAAAATGCATTTGGCTGAATTGGAACGTTAACCAAAGCTTTTATTGCATTAGGTCCAATCGGAATTTGATCTACTATCTTTGGGATCAAACGTCCTTCAGCAACAATCTCATTTGTTCCACCCCAATCTACTAACTTGCAATCAGGTCCAAAATTAGAATTTCCACCCTACAATTAATCAACAAGATTAATACATTTATGGTATTTTGTAACGTATAAAACTAAGAAATGGGAATAAAAGGAACTAAAAAAATATAATTTGAATCACCACACTTGGGGCAATTTTCCATGTCCTTGTACTCGTTTCGAAATAGACAACAATCGTTCGAACAAGCATGAATTTTTTCATACCCCATTCCAAACTCCTTAAGAATTTTTTTCATTAAGTACAATGACTTTGGAAGTACATTATCCTCTGGAAGCAAGTCTGCTAATACACCAAGAAGTTCATTAAAACTTGTATCCGACCATCCACTACGAGTTTTAAGTCGGAATAAAGTTACAATGGCCGATAATTTATTGTATCTTGAGCCATTAGAATACAAAGGAGTTGCTGCATCTTTAAGGTTTGCCATAAAACTATCATCAGGTTTGCCTTCCATAGGCTCATTGTAGTCTTCGTTAACAAACTCACCAGACTTGACATAGTCTTCCTCCAGATAGTTGGTAGCTTTATATAAATTGAATGCCTCATTATTGACTATTTCATCTACTCTCTCTCCACTAGTCATTTGCTCTCCATGCTCATACCAATCATTTCTTTGTTTGTATTTGATGTCCATTTCTCTTGTTACTAAATGTCCGACAACAATATTACCGGATTGATGATCAACATTACGACAATCTATGCAAGGACATAAGATCATCTCAGGATTTCCTAAGTTTTTTATGACGGCTTCTACAAATTTCCATGCTCCTATCTCATACTCGGGATCAACTATAATAAAATATAAACAACAAATACATTGAGACACAAGTTATTATTAAGACGCTAAAGTTTTCAATTTTTATGGTAATAATCAAAATACTATATTACCTGTTAAGACGCACCCAACCTTTATCATACATCATGTTCCAAGTACCACGTACACAACTAAATATAAAAAAAAAAAAAAAAAAAAACTGAAAACTACTTGTGAGTGTTTAAGAAAATCAGCTGGAAATAAGATACACAATTATCAACTTAACCAACAACAACAACAAATTACCATAACAAAACCAGGTCTAAAACCAAAACCAATACAAATTTGGGTCAAAAATGATAAAAGAATGTTTGCAGCACATTAGTATATAAATAACCAATTACATAGTGAAATAGGTGCTTACCGTTCAAGAAAGTGGCCTCAATATCACTAACGATTCTAAGTTAAATTATCCAGATCAGATTCTCTTGACTGAGCAAAATTTAGTTAAAGAAAATTAAAGAGAATTTGTTAGCTGTCACAATAACGTTATCAATGAAATAAAAGATAACATGACATATATTTACCTGAGTTGCAAAAATATTTTAGCTGCCCATCTAGTTTTAACGGCATTGATTTGATAAAGCAGGCTAAATCCTTTATCTTTACTAAAACTCCTACAAAAAAGAAAACATAATTAAGAATCAGTTCGTATAAAACTTTCGTTAATAAATAGAAGCATACATATAACTTATATCCAAGAAATAACATCAATATTTTTTTTGGATAATATTATGCTTAATCTTATAAAAATACAGATGCATTGATATTATGACAATCTTTTTTTTCGTTTTCAGTTTTTATAACTCTCAGAAGTTCTTTCGGTTGTATTCATTTAGTCTATAGTTTTAAACCAAATTATAGGTTTAACACTAGATGCAAAGAAATATTAAAATTCGTAGTTAAGTAGGCTTAATCTTTCAAATTCTTTTTCTCCGAAAATTCGTTTGGTTCATACTTCTTTCTTCAATTGAACAGTAGTTTATATAAGTCATATCAACAAAACAAACATCAGCAATATTTGCTAGCGATAAAATCAATTCTCAACACTCCAAATTTACAATACTGCAATTGACATGTGCATAATGCACGAATCACCAAGAAATTACAAACACAGTCAACACAATTGAAATCTGCCTCTTTCAAATTAAAAATAAATAAATAAAAAAAAAAAAAAAAGAGAAGACAAGGGTCTGCCTCTTTCCTAAGGTTGGGCATTATGCAAGAATCACAGACTTAGAATAACAGTTAATGCTATTTTCCAAGTTTTGGCATATTAGAAGAATCACACACTTAAAAAAAAAAAAAAAAAAAAATCCAACGAAATTGAAGCAAGTGTATCCTAATTTTGAAGAATTTAAATAGGAATACTTCAACATATTCAATTAAACTACCCCGTTTATGAAGAAAAAAACATAAAACATAGAGAAATTTCATGTTAATCCCAAAAAATAAAAATAGAAGAGAGAACAGTATAATTACTTGTTTGGTAATTGTCCTCTGTTGCTGAGGTACAATCGCGCGCGCCAGCCCTCGTGGTCGTATCTCCTCAAGAATTTCAGCAAATCGGTTTGAAGAAGAACAAATTGATTTTAGGAGTTTCCGTGACTATGTGGAATTAGGTTTTCTGCGTGTGAAATTGAGTACTTAAGAGAAAATATGATGTAGAGGAGATCGATGAACTGAACAAAGACCCGAGTTTCTACAAATTGATTTGAAGAAGAAATTGATTTCTGGGTTTTTGGAATTAGGTTTTTATGCCTGTGAAGAGAAAAGGGGGGTTATGTAAAGAAGATGAAGCGAACGATATATGACCGACAAAAAAAGTCAAATCTATTATATTTAGGATACCGAGAAAATATATTTTTTCCCCCGCTAAAGTTTTAATAAATATTACAGCGTTTTATTTAAAGATTAGGAGCCCGATAAATTAAAAGCTATTATAGCATTTTTTAAGCAATTAAAAAATTAAAGATGAAACAATAGCACCTAACAAATAAACGCTATAATAATATGCTATAAAAAGTATATATTCTTGTAGTGCATCCTACATACTCCATGCCTTCTATGTAGTCTGAGAACCAATCCTGCACTTTTCCTTCCAAGTTCATTGATGCCAGATGCACCTTCTCCTCCTCACTCATAGGGTTTATCCTAAAATACCTATGGCATCTCTTTAACCATGTTCTAGGAAACTGGCCATCAAACTTTGGAAAGTCCACCTTAACATTCCTCAAATCAGTGTTTCTCAAAGGGATGCTAATGTTACCTCCTTCCTGTGGCATTTGGTGAAATCCTGGTAGAACATTCTCTGGATTCCGCACTGGATTCTCTGAAGTATTACCATGAGTCATAGGTTCCTTTCCTTTGCTCCCATTCATAGATCTGACCACTTCACTCATTAACCTCTGTATATCCTCCATCCTCTGGCTGGTTTCAAGCCTATATCTCTCCATCTCCTCTCTCAACCCTGCCAGATCTGCTTGCATCTTCATGTTGAAAGTCGTCCGCTCATCCACGAACACCTCTGCTTCTGTCCTTGTGTTATCACTCGATCCAGTTCTAACATGGCTCCTCGTCATCATGAATGAGAGGCAGATCCAGGAAAAACTGCTCTAGATACCAAATGTCACGAATCACTCTCAATCACGTAATAAACTCTCGAACTAATTATTGAAATTTTGGTTGAAAGATTGTATTGATTCAAAGTGCAAAGTAGGGTTTACAATCTTGAAGAAAAAGAAACAAACTTGGAGACAAAGGAACAAAACTCTACCTTATCTCTATATTAACTAAGCTAGACTAGAGTACTGATAATGCTTGCCAACTCTTGGTGTTTGTCTGCCCATTTATAGAAATAAAGTAACGGCTCTCTCTCCTTAGCTCAGAACACGCTGTGCATGTGATACTGCCCATGCTGCCTCCTCGAAAGGACGTCGTCTGACGCACCCCTCCCATTCTTGAAAAAACGTAATAAAAATAAAAGCTCGGACGCGTTTTAATAAGTTAAAACAACGCCGTTTGAAACATAATAAAAGAAAATTAAAAAACGGTTAATTCCGTTACAAACTATGTATCATACCCTAAATTCAATCACATGGCAGATTTACTGGTGGCGTCGCTTATACACAGAATTCTGAAATTACGAGGGGTACCCGAGAAATTACGCACATACTCGACAATGGTATGGCTTTTCAACCCATTCACCATCACAATCGGAACACGTGGCAATCCTAATAGTATTTCTGTAATTATTTATTTTTAATATTTTTTTTCTACTAATTTCTAACTATAATTTTCAACAATTATCAAAATCGAAACTAAACCGTGAAAATCTTACCTTAATGGTACATCTGTAATTATCTATTTTTAATATTTTTTTCTCTACTAATTTTCTAACAATAATTTTCAACAATTATCAATCTCCTATTAGTGTACTATATTTTCTCATTATATATTATACTGATTACTCTTTATCACTTTTGAAATAAAATCCCGTGCATCCCACGGGAAAAAATGCTAGTTCGATTAATTTCTGCAATCTCTCATTCGAACTGCAGACCATTTTGTACAGGCTGCATTTTGGTATGGCCTCGTTGTTCACCTGAGAATATATCCGATAATATACGCACTTCCAATAATCTTAGTTCTCGATCCTCTCCATTTTCAATCTGGCAAGAAACCCGCCCTTGTAGACTGGAGTTGCAGAACATAAAAAAAAATCATGGGACCCGATCAATAGTAAAATCAGTCGTTCGCAATACATTTGGAATTTCTTCATAAAATTGTTGTCTCGGAGAAGAGCAGTATTTGCTACCGTAGCGGGGTCCACTTTCCTCGTATTTACAGGACTGTGTTTCTTTTTATACGGATGGGAATTCTTGCACGAGGCTTTGCTGTACCACCTCACGCGCACGGACCCACGTCACAATTTTTCAATATACTTCTACCACATTTATCTCCACTACGAACGCGAGTTTTCCATCCTCGAAAAGCTCGTCTCCTTTTTGCCTCAGTTTACCGTCCAGCTAGTGCTGATTTATCGTTTCGCCCTCGACTTGCCGTTCTGTCTCTTTCTTCAGACACTTGCGTTTGTGGCCTTCAACAAGGTTAGTTCCGTCATATTATGTCTAATTCTATACAATGTGCCTGCCTGCCAGGTAGGGGTCGAAATCAGAACGGGATTTCCGATTTCCCCCGATTTCGATTCAAATTTTTCTGATTTTAGAACAATATTTTTCATTCCGAAATCCGAATATCTGATTTTGATTTTTTCCATTTTTTGTATCAGAATTGGAATATATACGAGATTCCATTTTCCAATCCGATTTTAATTTCAGACAATTAATTCCAAAACTTCCGTTTTTTTCCGAAAATTATACTTACAATTTCAATATTAGTATCCATTTTATATTTTAGTACCAAAAACTTGGAATTTATTATTTATGCGAATTCCGCCAATTCCAATCCAATTTTATTTATTTATTTCGGGACGAGATTTTTCACTTATGGATGGCTCGCTATCTAGCCGATTTTTTTATTTTTCCAATTTGTTTTGGATCACAATTGGAATTTATTTTTCACATCCGATAAAATCGATTTTTTTTCCGAAAATGCTTATTCAGATCTGATCCGTTCGATTTCGACTCCTAGTGCCACATCATCACCAACATTTGCTCGTTTCTATATACAGGTGATAACGGCACAGTATTTCGTGTGGTTCTTTTGTTTATTGCCTCTAATATTACCGTGGAGCAAAATGGAGCTCAAATGGAAAGGTTTAGGTTGTATTTCGTTGTGGATCGGAGCTCAAACGCATTGGTTGTTGTGGGGTTATTTACTCGAGTTTCGAGGCAAGAACGTATTCTTTCAACTATGGATGGCGAGTTTATTTTTCTTGGCTGCTAATGCTTTTGTTATTATTAATGTTATTCGGAGCCATTTATATTGTCCTCTATTCAAAAAGTCGCAATCTAACTCAGGTGATGGTTTGAAAGCCGAGTAGCGATATCTGTCGAACTCGTTTTTTTCATCGCTTTGTTGATATTTAATGGCGGGAAATTTTTGAGGATGTTTTGTGGATGGTTTCCTTAATTTTATTTCTGAATGTATATATACAAAGTCTTATTACATCATGGTCATCTTTGTTTAATCATACTACCATTTATCCCCTGAGATGCAGGGGATAACATTTCAAAATTGAAAATAATAATTAATATGATGCATGACAATAATAATTATAATCAAATTTATTAGTGATATAAGTAACAATATCAATATATTTACAAATTTAATAATACAATCTCGTCCCAAAAAAAATGTATAAGTTTAATTGTTATAACATGAAATTGATCATTTAATTATTTTAAAGCAATGAACGATTAGAGAACATGGATTGGAAAATAGGTGGTAAAAATAATAATAACAATTAAAAAGATATATAAAGGTAGTGGAATAGGATTGTGCTAATCGAGATTCGGTGTGGAAGTAATTAGAAAAAAAATAACTGCAAAATAAGAGGTAAAAATAAAATCTTTCTATATCAATTAAATTGTGTTTTATAAATGTCATTAGATTTTTTAAGTGGCAAATATTATTAAGAAAGTTCAAAATGAATTTTTGAAAGAAAAAAATAAAAGAAAAGACTAATTAAAAGAGAGGCTTAATTCTACTTTTCATCCTTAAAATATATCATTTTGGTACTTTGCACCTTCAAAACAAATTAATAGCACTTTACACTCTCGAAACACAATATAATGATATATCATGCATAATGCATTACACGTGAGTTTTTAAAGCTAATAAAAGTAATTTAATATTTTCAGTGGTATTTAAAAATTATATTTTTTATCACAAAAAAATATTTTACAAAAAAAAAAAACCATTCAGCCAGTGGCGTATCCAGTGTGGTCCAAGGGTGTGCTACTGCACACCCTTGATTTTAAAAAAAAAATATTTCCTATATATTTAGTAATATATAACTGCAAATGTAAAGTCAAGCCAATGCAATGCTGTAGCTGAACTGGTTAAGTGCTCTATAGCATTTTGCAGAGGTACAGGGTTCAAGAGCGAGATTCCGAACCTCTCTTTTATTTTTTCTTTTTTATTCCTAATTTTCCCATTACATACAATATTTCAATTGTTTTAAAAAAATGTTGAATATTTGGGTATTTTTTAATATTTAAAAAAAAATCTCCTAATATAACATATATTTTGCTATTTGTAACTTTAATTTATTTACCATTTCTTTAATATTAAATATAATATAAATTATTCCAAAATTCTAAATATTGTATATATATGTATTATTTCAATTTTTTTTCTAAATTTACAACTATGTGGGTTTTCTTTTCTTTTTTTTCTTTTTGAAAATTCAAAATCTGCTAATGAAATGTACATTTCGTCACTTGCAACTTTAATATGTTTACCACTCCTTTAATATTTTCACCAATTTTATGTCTAAATATTTCCTAAATTTGCCCAAAAATGGTAAAATAATACCTTTAAATTTAAAAAATTTAAAGATTTTTTTATTATTTAATGTGTACAGTATTCAAAAATAAAATAAAATCGGGGGCGCTGCCCCCGAATCCCCGTAAACTATTAGCCAACCATTATATTTTTTACTATATTTAATTTCGAACACCCTTGGCAAAAATCCTGAATTCGCCACTGCAGACAATTTAATTTGTTATTTTGCACCTCATAAAAAAACAATAATAAATAAATTATTCATTATTATTCAATTAAGGGTGCAATGTTAATAATTTATTGTGTTTTGAGGGTGCAAAGGACTATTATTATTTTTCAAATGTGCAAAGTGCAAAAAGGCTCCATTTCAAAGGTGGAGAGCATCTACTTTGTAAAATTAAATAGAGCCCCTCTACAGTAGAGTACTCCTACAGTTCTCCATACAGTGTATTTGAAAAGAAAAATTGTCACCGACTCCCACTGTGTACTACACCTACCGAAGCACTTATTCCCGTACAAAACTACTATTGAACAAAAAAAGACATTGGACCTATTATTTGTTGTTCTGAACCCCTGCAATTTGTACAGCTGTGTTGTATTATTACTGATACAATATTAATAAAATCTGAATTATAATTACCCATATTATAATTCGAAATTAAAATGTGGAATCGAAATAGATGAAAGTTTCCAATTTTCACATATAATTTTGTTTAAACACAAATATGCCAAAAAATAGATAGTGGTTGGGTTGTTAAATGACAAATTTGCCCCTAGAACAACTATAAAACTATCATTTTTCGAGGGCCAAATTCGTCATGTCAAGGTCCAATATTCATATTGTTGATTTGTTTCAGGAAAAAACAAAAAAAAAAAAAAAAAAAAAACTAGGGCCTCGTGCATGTTTTTTCCCGAAAATACTATTTACCCCACTATTCCACAGTAACTATTTTTTTAATATTTTATTTTATATTATTGTCACTTTAGATTACGCATTAAATATATAATTTTCTTTTCTTCTTATTTTTTTAAGTACTAACTCTCTCTTATCACATAATTAAATGATCAAGGTTATTTTAGTCTTTTTAATTTTTTTTCCCAAAATCAAAACACATTTATTAACATTCGTAATACTTATGCAAAGCTGAAAAATGACACTTAATTGAAAACGAAGGAATTACCGTTCAACAATTAGGAACGACCAAATATGGATAGGGATGAAATCATTTTCGATTAACATTTAAGATTATATTTTAGAAAGGAAAAAAAAAATAAAAAAATTCGGGTACTTGTCCCCAAACAATATTCCTGAAATTGATTTAGTTTTGTCAATCAACGAACAGTCTAATCAACAACTTCATGTTCTGCAATTCAACCCTCTAAATTAATAAAAATAGCAATTTCACCCTCTATTGTTGGACGATTTGTTCGTAAAAATTTCTCAACTTATGGCTTAAAACTATTTAATTGTTTTAGAGAAACATAAGCAAAAATGTTTTCATAGAGGAAATAAGACTTTCATTAGACGATTTCCGTTGAATCCAAAAAAGTTTGACACTCCCAATACATTCGACCGCAAGGGGTATATGCAATGGCGTGGCTAAATAATTTCCCGAGCGTTTAAATAAGCTAAATCGAACATTTGATTCCTCTTTTATATGTTTATTTAGTTTTGATACCATGTTGAATGATCAGCTCAACCAAATACTGAAGCTGTACCAGTAAATTGTATCATTTAATATTAATATCTCCAATCAAATGTCTCATCTTCCTTCACATTTACGACAAATGGGGAATCAATGAGCTTTCTTCGAAATAATTCCGCATAAGTAGCAAGAATATTCGAATACATCTTCCCTATGAAAATTCGATTTTTCGGAGAAAGGCGCATCATTTAGCCTCCAAAAATTATTGATGTGATAAATGTGCAACACAGGACGGAATAGCTTCAAGCACTGCCTCGATTACTACCTCTTATCCCGCCTTTGACAATTAATGCTCTCACCCGTTCATTGATTTTTACCTAAAATTTCCTTACGGGTCTTGCGCATAGTTGCAAGTATACCTAAGCACTTATCATGACGATCGACAACTCGATAGCCAAGAATTTGATGAATATCCTCTTTTCGAGCATATGCAATGTTGCAAACATTAATAAGACCGATTATGAGAGAAAAAAAAAAAAAAATAAATTCATAATCAGCTTTCAAAAGGTTTTACAAACACCACATTAGTCTTGCGGTATCAGTTAAACATTAATTGTTTTTAGAAAAAAAAATTGCAACAAATTCTCTCTCTCTCTCTCTCTCACTTGTAATAATAAATATCTTATTATTTTGAAGCATTATTCGACTGTCTCTTGCAGATTTTGGTGTAGGCTATCGACAAGTTTTCGACGAACTTCGCACCACTAATTAGTTTGGCTATGTTGGCTTTTCAGTTACATATTTATACGCAGTGGCGGATCCATGATGAAAATTCAGGGTATGCTGGCTGCGGCGAATCCAGGAATTTACTGTACAGTGGGATTAAATTTTCGGGGGTTCGGGGGCAGCGTCCGTGGAAAAAAAAAATTGAATCTTTTTTTGTTGGATAAATTAGGATAAGGGAAAAAAAATTGAACCATTTTTTTTTTGGATAAATTAGGAGAAGAAAAAATTTAGGATTTCTTTTTTCTTTTATATTTTGACTTTTGAGTGGAAATATAATGTGTTTTTGGGGAGATGGGCTAAAAAAGTTAGGACTTTTTTTGTATATTTTGAATTTTGGGTGGACTAAATAGTAATATATACATAATATAATGTGCTTATGAAAGAGGGGCTCAAAAGAAATTGAGACAAAAAAAATAAACATTACTTTTTTGCACAACAATAGGAGTCGAACTTATGGCCTCATTGAACAACTTGGACATCATTACCTCTAAGTGACACTTCTTTTCATTAACTATAATGGTCCATGACATACTTGGCCATCCCCTAAATCCGCCTTTGTTCATACGAATTCTGGGTGACGTTCCGACAATTTACAGGCGATTTTTGGTAATCATATAATGTATTTTATAATATACGTGAATTAAGAAATAATATATATATATATATATATATATATATATATATATATATATATATATATATATATATATATATATATATATAGTTTAGAACAGCTGTGGAAATGTAATGTTAATTCGCTAATTTGAAAAAAAAAAACTTAGGTAAGCAATAGAAACAAAAGATACATCACAACCGAACCACTCTAAATGTTAAACATTATTTCATAAAAAAAGTGATAAATATTGTAACAAAAATCCTCGTACAAAACGATTTGGACAAAACGGTCATATTTTAGTTCATAACAAATACTGCAATTGATCTCCTCGTCGAATAATATTATATATTAAAATTATTTGCGAGGATAAAATTGGTATACTCTGAATCAACCCCACCTGTGTTTAGAAATGTTTGGTCTATGTGTAAATGAGTTCTCTTTTAAATAATGAATGGTCTCAAAACAAAGAGACCGATGGCAATTAAGTGTGAATCTAATACTGAATACTTCTTCCGTTTCTAAATATGTGTCGTTTTTTTATCTTTGTACAAATTTTAAAAAACTCAATAAATATATCATTATTTTAGGAAAATATTTATTGTTAGACTAAAATGTTCTTGTTTACAAACTAATGAGAGAACATATTGTAGAATTAATAAGGGGCATTGCTGAAAATTATGGAGAATACTTTTAAAAGTGACGTGTATAAATATCAAATACAAAAATTCAGGGCTAAAATAATGTGTATTAATTTAACTATATATGTAAGAAAAAAAAATATTAAATCTTCTTGACTTTTGGTTGACCGAATATACAGAAGCAACCAAGGCCAAGAGAAAAATATCTTCCTCTGTTCAAAAAAGAAAGACAAACAGATGGATAGCTGTTTCACCACACAAATAGAACAAATAAAAGGAAATAAAATTTCCTTCTTTCTATTTTCGTTTCTTTATATTAAACTCCAGTTAATTAATTAAATCATATTTATATTTATATATAATATAATATATATGCTCTCCCTCACACACACACACACACACACACAAACAGGAAACACACAATTCCTTGAATTTCATTCATTGGAGAGTGGTGACACCAAAAAAATACACACACAAAAACACGCACTCCAAATTGGTAAAAAGCAATTCAATTTTCCGACCAATCGTTTCTTCCCTCTTTCCTTCTTTATACATATACCCTTGTCTTATTGGTCGTATTTTCTTACAGCACCCTCTCTCTCTCTCCTTCTCTCTTTCTCTCTCTAGATCTGAAAGAAGAAACAATGGCATAATGAAGTCGCTGTCTCTCTCTCTCTCTCTCTAAGTGTTTCTTATTTATCTATTTAGAGCAGTATATATAAATATCACTTATCTTTCTTTCTGTATTTAGGGTTTTGTGGTCTCACCTGTTTACCCCCATAAATGGCAAAAACTTGTCGCTTTTCTCTCTCTCTCTCTCTCTACTCTCTCTCTCTCTCATAACCTGGATTTTGTCATGACAAGTAAGAGAAAAATTATATATTGTTAAATTGTATTGAATCATTTGATTGTGTGCTGGTTTATGAATTCCTGGGGTTCTTGATTATATATATTTAGAGAGAGAGAGAGAGAGCATTAAATAAAATATTAAAAAAGTAAAAAGAAGAAAAAATGGCAAGGGAGAAAATAAAGATAAAGAAAATAGAGAACGTGACAGCAAGGCAAGTGACATTCTCAAAGAGAAGAAGAGGGCTTTTTAAGAAGGCTGAAGAACTCTCTATTCTCTGCGATGCCGATGTTGGTCTCATTATCTTCTCTTCCACCGGAAAACTCTTCGAATACTCCAGCACCAGGTCTCTCTCTCTCTCTCTCTCTCTCTCTCTCTCTCTCTCTCTCTCTCTCTCTCCAGCACCAAGTGACATTCTTGGAATAGCTGCTAGAAGAATGGGGTTTAATTTGTGGTGGGAGATTGAATAGTGTGTGTTTAATTTTTATTTGTTTTTTATTTTTATTTTATTTTATTTATTTATTATTTTTAATGTGTTGGGTGTACTAACATGTGGCCATTGGATGAAGAAATTGGTATACAAATATTCTTGAATATCTTCACTTTTGCTATCACCCATAGCCATAGGCACATATAATATTTCACAATTCAATTCAAATTTTTTTTTATTTTTTTTTGTTTTATTTTTTTCATCTAGTATATACAAAAAAATGCTAATAAACATAAAAAAGTGCTTTATTAGTTTTATGTAGGTGTGGAAATTATAATGCAATTTTCGAATTCGGCCAATACCGATCCGATAATATCTGAATTTGGAACTGTAATCCATTTTCTTTTTTCCGAATTTATTTGGAACGGGATCCGAATGGTATATTATAAAATTACCGGAAATTCCGATCCGATTTTAATTCTTGATATTTCTATGGTTTTTCGAAATGTATATAATTTCATTTTATGATATATCTTGTAATCCCATAATATAACTAATTATGTTATACATTATATGAAAAGTATAAATACCGAAGGGTCAAGTAAATTAAATTCTTAGAAAAGTAATTGGTAAACTTTATGTTACATTTTTCCTTATAAAAAAATCTATGCCTCAATTTGTTGTTCCTACACGTGTTTTCATTTATCGCGTTTTGTCGAACTCTCTTTTGGATTTTCTTGCATTTTCCTGCAAAATTTCAAGAAAGATAATATTGTAAAAATTTCCCATTATATCCGAATTTCGAACAAGAGATTATAAACTAGTGCAATTTCTGAAATTTCCGAAATCCCGCCGATTCCGAGGCATTTCGACATCGGAATGAATTTTTACATTCCGGAGTTTTAGGAACTTAAACTAGAACCCGTTTTTTACTTGCGAAAAAACATTGATTTTTTTTTTTCCGAAAAAGCCATTTCCGATCCATTACGTCTGATTTTCACCCTAGTTTTATAGTTCATTAGTGTATGACTTTGAGTGTATAATAGTTGTCTGAAGAAAGGGTTTGAGAAAATTGGACCAAACTCATAAGCTTAGTACAACTCTCCCACAATTGATCTACAAACACAATTCTCAGATTAATTAAATTTGTTTGTGCTGTTCTAAATAAGCTGATGCATCTTGCAAGTCTTTTTCACAATATGGTAATTAAAGTAAACTGATAAACGAAATTGATCGACTCTTCGACTTAGTATTTTCTTTTTTCTTTTTTCGGGTTTAAATCAATGGCTAAGCTAAGCTTGACCACGTGTATTGTGTAGTATTTTATAAAGTTTCGACTTTTCATTTACGGTGCAATTCGAGATTCCAAGAAAACATTATTGAGCTTCATTATTTTTTTTATGTTTTTTTTTGACTTTTTTTCTTTCTTTTTTCCGATCTTTTTGCGGTTTGATGAAGTATGAAGGACATAGTTGAAAGGCATAACTTGCACTCGAAGAACCTTAATAGGTTGGAGCAGCCATCGCTCGAGCTGCAGGTAATTAATTAATTTATTCAAAATTATTTTTATATTCAAAAGTACATTAGCCATAATATGTAACAATATTAACAATCTTATTGTTAATTCAAAATTATCGATTTCGTTTACTATCTGCGTAACGTAAGTTTTCCTTAACAATTAAAATCGTCGAAATATGTTTATATGTAATGCAGCTAGTCGAGGACAGCACTATCTCCTGGCTTAACAAAGAAGTGGCTGAAAGAAGCCAACAACTTAGGTACATTATGCATTTATTTTTTATATATATATATATATATATATATATATATATATATATATATATGTATATATATATATATATGTATGTATTTACGTATGTATGTATATGTGTATATATGTATGTACGTATGTATATATAATAAGTATTTTGCGGTGAATATACAGACGCATGAGAGGAGAGGAACTTGATGGATTAGGTATTGAAGAGTTGCATCGTCTCGAAAAATCGCTTGAACTTGGATTGAACCGTGTTATGGAGAAAAAGGTGTGCGTATATATATATATATATATGTGTGTGTGTGTGTGTTAATTCTACTATTAATATTATTAATAATAGACTAAATTAAAATGTGCACTGATCTTGATCATGGAATATAATTTTGAATTAATTAATATTAATTTGCAGGGGGAGAAAATCATGAATGAGATCAATCAGCTTCAAGAAAAGGTATATATATATATATATATATATATATATATATATATATATATATGATTTTGTTTAATTATTAGTTTCTTTGTTGATTTAATTATAACCCTAAGAAAATGCAGGGAAGGCAACTCATGGAAGAGAACAGACTATTAAGACAGCAGGTTTGAAGTTATAAGATATTTACATGTAGACAAAAAGAAGAAGGAATTAATATTAATTTAATTTAATTAATTAGACATGCATGTAAAAAACTTGACATTTATTTATTTATTTATTTTTCAAATAAAAAAAAAGGTGGCGGATATAGAAAATAACGGGGTCGGCAAGAAAACGGTAACGACAGAATCGGAGAAGATGGTGTACGACGAGGAAGGGCAGTCGTCGGAATCTGTAGCGAATGTGTGCAACTCAGCTGGTGAACATCCACAAGATTATTATGATTGCTCTGATACTTCTCTTAAGCTTGGGTTAGTTTATAATTATATTCCTTAATCTTTTTTTTGTTTTAATTCTAATTTTTGTGCAAATATTAAATATCATATATATGTTAACTATGAATATATATTAATTATTAATTAATTTAAAAATGTTTTGATGTTGCAGGCTGACGCCTTACAGTGGATGAATGCATGTGTGCAATGAAATTTGGTGTCCAATTTCATGGAATAATTGAGTATTAATTAAGTTGAGAAAGCTAATTCCAAAGACTGAATTAATTATTGGAAAAATAACATTTTCCTATGTATCTATATCCTATCTGTATTTATTTTATTAGATATTATTATGTGCAATGAAGTAGATCCCACTAAATGGTATAGAGAAATATATATTCCACTAAAAAAAGAATCAAAAATCATAATTTATGAGAAGATTAGATGTTAAGTTAAAATATCTTGTATTATTAGTTGTTAACACATCCTTTTAATAAGACCATTGGTTTCTTTGACCAATAATTCCTTAATAAAGACACTCTTAATTTTGGAGGATAATAATACAAAAATATAGTTCAATAATAGAGAAACAAAAAAAATTGTATATATTTATATGGTCTTTCAAAACTCAAATTGAAATCAATCGCAATCGAACTTTGTAAGAGAAAGTTGTGATCAAAATAATTCAAATAGTAGGCATCTCTTCGCCATGGTTCGATTCAAATCTCAGAAATTACAACATACGGACACTATCGATCTTTTTCATGGACATTTCGTTTCAACGTGAATAAGTACAATCAGAGTTCGAATGACAAAATTATGATCAAAATAATTTGATGAGATAGTAGCATTACTGTCTGTAAGATTTAAGTTTTTGTCACGATATCCAAATTCAGTGTTAGAAAAAAAAATTGAATTTGTAGAATTTGGATGTATCGTTTTTCTAATGCAACCGAAATTAATAAATCCGGGGTTCGTGTGGCAAAATTACGAATTTGTTGACTTTAATAGAAACTTTTTAAAATTGGATTGAATATTCCATTTTTAAAATTTAATATTCCTACAAGGCATGAGAGCCACTCTCTTCCTCTTAAACTTTTGGATGTATTATATTTAATCTATTATTCTACTTTAGGTTTTGCTAAATTAAGTATGCAAAGTGTCCAAAGTTCAATAAAACATGAATCAAAAGTTCATTTATTATAGTTGAACAAAAAATTAGCATTCTTAATCTTATAATTAATTGCCTCGTTGAATTCTTAATGGCTTAATCCCACTCTGCACATTTGAAATATAATTTTTTAGCACTTTGCATTCTCAGAAACTATTAATAGCATTTTGTATTCTTGGAAACACAATAAATCATTCACGATGCACCCGAATTTTTATTTTAACCTACTAAAGGTAATTTAATATCTTTAGTGGTAATTTTTTGGGATGACAAATGTCAAATCAATTTTTTTATATTCACAATACTTTCAAAACTACAAAGTGCAAAAATAAAAGTACATGTTATCAACATATTTAAAAGTTATATTTTTTTTATCACATAAACATTTACGAAACATAAAAAAAGAAATTCTTCAACTATTTTTTTCGTTATCAGATTATTTGAAATTATATTTTGTTACAAAGATTTCTACAATTTCACCAATTACAATGAAAGATTCGCCAGTCGAGTAATTTAGTGATAAAATTTTATATTTTTTCTTCGTGAGAAAATAGTTTGTAAGTAACCAATTGTGATTTTTTCTCAGCATTTTTTATGCTCGAAATTAGGTTGGAGAGTTGAAAAAATAATAATTTAATATTTTTTTCTAGCACCCTGCAAAAACCAATAAAAAATAAAATTGACCTCATTAAGTTTTGAAAATTCAATTATGGGATGATAGTGAATGATTTATCATTTTTCGAGGGTGAAAAGTACTATTAAATTTTTTCGAGGGTGTAAAGTGTCAAAATGCAAAATTTCAAGGGTGCAAAGTAAGATTACTAAAACTATGCATGTCGACCAGTTTGTTTTGTAACTAAAAGATATTTGGGGCTTTGATTGTGATCCGACCCATTTGTGGTGGGGTCATTTTGGTCTTATGTTGCCATCAAGTTATTGGCCCATTCACAGCTGTCCTATCAGATTTGCTGTATTTTTCTTTTTCTTTAATTTAAATAATATACTTCTTTTGGATGAAAAATTATAGTATTAATAGATTTAGTGGTTATAAGCATTTCCAATTTAATGTTTGGGTGGATGTTTTTACCTCGTTGTCGTACCGAACCCTATCAATTTATCTACAATCGTATATTACCGTACCATACCGATTTTTTGGTTGGATTATGATAACAAGTGTAAAAGTCAGATGCAACAGATTGGAATTAACATTTTTCGAAAAAATTCTAAACTTTTTTAGAAGTACAAAACTAATTCCAATTTTAATTCCAAAAATTTCGGAATCTAGAAAATCATTCCAATTCCATAAGTTATGGAAATTTTGGAGTTTCAAAAATTTTCAAAATCACATGCGTTTTAACATGTTTAAAAAAAATTCGAAAACTTTCATAAATTTTCAAAAATAAGAACATCTGGCTCACTTTCATAAAATCATAAAACTAAAACTACTCATGTGATAATTCGATTCCTTTTACCAATATCATTAAATCGATGAATCAATGTGATTTATACAATCTAGTATGATTTGCAGACTATTGCGCTAAGTACACATGCATGTGTTCATATTGTTGTTTTTTGTTAAAGAATAAATTGCACGGTCATAGTATAACTTTTTATTTAAGGATTTTTCCAAATACAACTATCGATTAAATGGCGGGTAAGTATCAATCGATGCAAATTCTGAATACTTGTTAATGATTTTGATTGGTACTCTAGTTTGAGACTTGTGAGTGATAGTTTAGCCTTGAGCATCCAATTTTCTCGTGAGGATCACTATCTCCTGTTTTCTTGGATTCTGTAGACGCTACACTTGGTGAAATACATCGGGAAATCCTGAATTTTACCACCATCTACACATAATAATTAACACACACATACACACACACACACACAGACACACACATACATACACTCATATATATATGTGTGATTAGTGGATAGTTATTTATATATACTGCAAAATCACTTAGTACTTTTGCCGGAGTGTAGCATCTTACATACCTATGTTCTTGTTTATTATGAATGAAATTCATAATAAATAGTAATGAACTAAAATTAGTGTAGATCACGGGAATAACAACTCGAGTTAGGTGAAAAGTGACAAAAATAATAAATAGTCTTGGTAGCTTCCCGGAATAGAATTAGACTACAATGTCTAATCACCAATGTAATACATATCAAATGCAAAACATATCAAATGTGGTCATTTTATATACTAAATATAATATAATATTATACAAAATCATCTACATACATAATATATGAATTTGGGGAAAAAAGTATATTGAATAGATATGCTTGTACGGGTACATATTATTCGGCATAACACAAAATCAGATTGATTAAATAATTAATTCATTATTTTCATTAGGATAATAATTGAGTTTGGTTTAAATAATTGAGTTTGGAAACCATATATACAATGTTGAATGTCGGGGGCCTACGAGATAGCACAAACTCGAATCGGTACGATATTGTTAAAGATATTGTTCAATTAAATTGATATGGAACTTGGTATGTGCATCAACAATGCTCCCCTCAAACAAAGGACCATATAGGTCGGATCACAAAGAACCATCAAACCTTCTCTGAATTTACCATCTTTATTCTACATCGAGCCTTGAATAAAGGAACACCAAGTCACTCTTCATTTGCACACCGGGAGGATTATTGAGAGAAAATTATACATATATATATATATATATATATATATATATATATATATATATATATATATATATATATATATATATATATATATATATATATATATATATATATATATATATATATATATATATATATATATATATATATATATATATATATATATATATATATATATATATATATATATATATATATATATATATATATATATATATATATATATATATATATATATATATATATATATATATATATATAT